GAGGACTGAGGGTGAACTGAGTCTATGATAAACCTCACCAGTTGGTTAAGAGCAGACCTAGGGTTGATTGCATCCTAACAGGTCTTCTGTTAAGGAAGCCAGGAAGTTGCTGGAGAAGGCTTGCCACCCCTTCTGGTTACCTAGTAGTGTCCAGTAAGACTCTGGTACCAGCTTCCTCCTTGTGTCTTAACTTCAGTCTTTCTTGAACTAGGGTAAATTTATTTCTCCCAAGAGACTCAGCCAGATTTTAAAGTTCTGTCAGCCTAGACCAGTAGTAAGTAAAGAGAGGGCCTTAGGACTTCTGTTTTAAAACACTCATTCCATAGTGAAGTATGATTCCTTATTCTGAACATTTAGGAAGCTGGGTGTCCTAGAATTTATGGCCCGAGTTCAAGAACCTACAGCCTCTTTGCAACATGCTTCAAACCCAGAACTGAGTTGTCAGGGAATAAGCCCTGAGTAACCTCAATATGGGTTAATAAGATTAGGGGCTTGCTCTGCACCTTCCCTGCTCCTCCTTGTCCGGGCACCTGTTCTGCTAAGGCAGCAGGTTTGCAGCTTAGCCAGGGGCAGCACAGACCAAGACAATCAGGGTCCTTTATCTACCACGGGATAAAAAGATGGCTCCCAATGACAGCACAGGCAGCCAGCAGTACCATGTGGAACAGCACCATGTCTGTGGAATACTGTGGAAGCCCAGGGAAGAAAAGGAATACCTTCTCAGGTCTCAATGGACATGAGATTGGCTGGAAAGAGGGACAAATCAGTCCTTGACACCTGATGGCATTTTTTTTTTTGAGACAGAGTCTCAAGCTGTCACCCTGGGTAGAGTGCCATGGCATCACAGCTCACAGCAACCTCAGACTCTTGGGCTTAAGTGATTCTCTTGCCTCAGCCTCCCAAGTAGCTGGGATTACAGATGTCTGCCACAACGCCTGGCTATTTTCTTTTTTGTTATTGTTGCAGTTGTCACTGTTGTTTTAGCAGGCCTGGGCGGGGTTTGAGCCTGTCAGCCCCAGTGTATGTGGCTGGGCCCTACCCATTTTATCCTGTCCTCTAAAGCAAGAGGATGAGCATGAACAGCAAAATAGGAAATTAGAGAATGCTGTGCTCCAAGGATGGTGCAGAGTGGAAGATTAAGTCTTAATCTTAAAGGTTACATATGGTATGATTCCATTTATAAAACATTCTGGAAGAGGGAAAACAAAGGGACAAAATTGAGCAGTGGTCAGGTGGGGCAAGAAGTTGACTACAAGGGGGCACAGGGTGGGGGGGGGTGGGCCTAAAATCTTAGCACTCTGGGAGGCCAGGCAGGTGGATTGCTTGAGTTTGAGAGATGGAGACCAGCTAAGCAAGAGTGAGACCCCGTCTCTACTAAAAATAGAAAAATATTAGCTAGGCATTGTGGCTGGTGCCTGTAGTCCCAGCTACTCACGAGGCTGAGGAAGGAGGATTGCCTGAACCCAGGAGTTTGAGGTTGTTGTGAGCTAGGTGGAGGCCATGGCATTCTAGCCTGGGGCAACAGAGTGAGCAGGTCTCAAAACAAGAAAAAAAAGGGGCATGAGGGAACTTTTTGGGGTGATGGAGCAGTTTTCTTTCTTGATTGTGGTAGTTGTTAAACTGTATGCATTTGTCAAAATGTATAATACTACTACTGTACACTAAAAAGCATTAACCTTTTTGTAAAATATACCTTAATAAACTTGACTAAAAAACAAGCGAAGGGACAGACTGAGGAGTGTGTCAGAGGAGGATTCATGAGTTCTGGAACTGAAGACAAGGGAAAGGAAGAGAGTAAGCTGGGAGCAGCATTAATAATCAGGAGATGGGTCACGCAATGGAACTTTGCTGTTTTAGTTTGATGCTTTCAAGAGGATTTTGAAAAGCACAGCAGAACTCTTGTAGACTCTAACACCCCATGAACAGAGAGTAGCTTCCTTCCTACATGTCTCTCTCAAGAGCAGAAGAGTATCTGTGGAGTTAAGGACAAGGACTTGGAAATCACCATGTAAGGACGAGTAAGAGTTTAAATCCAGAGACAGGTCTTGGAGTGTCCTGTTTTCTAGTAATTTGAGGTCCAAAATGGTCCAAGAAGGTCACTAGCTGTCATAGCCAATGCATATAAAACTTAATCGGCTGAAGTGATGATTACACTTTCTCTGGGAAGGTCAAGATGTTTTGGCTAATGGCCATAATCGACACTAATAATATAAGCCTCTTAAATTTCAAGCTGATACAGATGTCCCACTTCAGTTGTTGCAAGGTGACATGGGGAACACTGCCGTGGCATTTAAGTATATGAAATAAAACAAAGATAAAGGCAAACCCAAAGTAATGTCAACACCTAAAGCATTTATTTGAATATTTTTAAACTTTTTACATATGGTACATTTCCAAATTTTACAAGTTGTCCACAGATATTAAAGTTATAGCCAATTTATTAAACAGATATGATTATCCCTGATATGGAAAGCGTATGTTATATAAACATTTCTACAATAAACACAAAACATGCAGAAGAAATCATAAAGCTAAGATGATTTGTTAGGTAGGGAAGACAATTAGGTTAACACCAGAAAATAAAAAGGTGTGTATGTTGCTATTTCATGTAAATTCGTCCTTTCTTAGACTCTGACATTTTCAGAGAATGGAATCCAGGGCTGCCCTCTGCTAACTCCAGGTTTCTATGAAGTCAAGACTGAAAGCTGGAGTATATTTATGACTGGGTGAAAATGTCAGTAATCTACTTATAGAAACAGAGAAACCTGGTCTTACAATTTAAGATTTAAGCTTGGTGAACATAACGGAAAAAGCCAAAAGAAGCTGGACTTAAAAGCTAAAGGACCAGAAATGACAAAGGTCAAAATTAACATTAAATTTGCCATCCACAGCCCAAACAACCAGACCTTATAACTGGAAGGCCAGAAAAAGTGGGGATTCTTCCCCTTGGTCCTCCTCTCAGCTGGCTGAGCCAGTCTCAAGGAAGAAGGGTTTAAGTCATGCTTTCAAGAGGAAGTGTTTCTTTCATACACTACTTTGAAGAAGAATGGTTTCTGCATCCCCAATTATTAAATTAAATTATTATTTTAGCCTCAGGTCTGGATTTCAGACCTGCTTCCTGGTTATACTAAGAAGTGTGTACAGCTGAGTGGAATGGAACCTGCATATGCAATTCAAAGAAAACTGAGTGAGGCCTGAAGTGGTGGCCCATGCCTGTAATCCCAGTACTCTGGGAGGCTGAGGCAGGCGGATTGCTTGAGCTCAGGAGTTTGAGACCAGCTTGAGCAAGAGCAAGACCCCTTTTCTAAAAATAGCTGGGTGTTGCTGTGGGTGCCTATAGAATTAGCTACTTGGGAGGCTGAGGCAAGAGGATCACTTGAGCCCAAGAGTTTGAGGTTGCTGTGAGCTATGAGGCCACAGCACTCTACTGAGGGCAAAAGTAAGACTCTGTCTCAAAAAAACCAAAACCAAAACCAAAAACCCCAAAAAACTGAGTGCTAGGGTCACTTGAATTGGTTAAAAAAATCTAAGAACTTCTTACTATTCACTTGTCCCTTTGCCCCAGAGTGGCTCAGAATTTATTTCTCCACTAAATCTGCCATCACTCTGTGCACATTCAAGCTCTTAGCACTTATATATCAAACAAACGTAGTTGTATGGGATGTATTTGAGTCATTAAGTTTTGACAGGGCGGCGCCTGTGGCTTAGTGAGTGGGGTGCTAACCCCATATACCGAAGGTGGTGGGTTCAAACCTGGCCCCGGCCAAACTGCAACAAAAAATAGCTGGGTGTTGTGGCGGGTGCCTGTAGTCCCAGCTACTCAGGAGGCTGAGGCAAAAGAATCACCTGAGCCCAAGAGCTGAAGGTTGCTGTGAGCTGTGATGCCACTGCACTCTACCGAGGGTGACGTAATAAAACTGTCTCTAAAAAAAAAGAAAGTTTTGATACACAAAAATCAAGAAATGTAAAATCCACCTGGATGGAAACAAATGAAGCCCTCTAAGCAATACTGACCAGCCAAGCAAGATGAAACTTGCATGAGTGAGTAACAAAGGATGCTGTCAACTGTTTTTCCTGGAAGTGAAACAATGGACTATAATATGGTCTATCTCAAAACTTTTCGTAGTGACCCATATAATAGTAAAAACTATTTTACTAAGCGGCTATCATTCTAGGAAGGCACCTCTTAGTAAGAACAATAATGTTCTAAAAGAGTTAAAAGCCTGGGTGCACAGAATGCCCCGGACTGGACTAAGTGAATCAGTGGGTAAGCAGTGGTTCAACTATTCTGGGAAATGCTGAACAGGTGGGGTTGTGGGACCCTCAAAACACTGAATTTTCACGTTTTTCACCAGTATTTAGATACATACATGTATCCAATTTAGCCTTAGAAATAACAAAGATCATTAACTATCTGAAAAGCTAGGATATTCTTTAAGTTTTCAGAAAGCCCTTTAAGTGAGTTTTTTCTCTCGAAGGCAAAAGTTTTGCCAAAAAAGGAAAAAAATTCAACCTTTGGCAGCCCTGAAAAACCAGCCAGCACACTAAATAGTCACTTCCTCTGCACCAGTATCCACCAACCCTCTCACAGTTGATGGAGAGAAGAGAACATAGCCTTCAAAACCAAATGCTTTGCTCTTTCTTAGAGGTAGGTCCTTCAGCAGAGGAACACCAACTCAGTCCCAACGTTGACAGGAACCAGGAAGTACGACTCCAACGGACCACAGAGACTTTGTTTCCTGCCTTTTACTGAATCAGCTTCGGACATGGAGTTCAGCATAATCAATAATGTAAAATGGCTCAGACTACCGGGAACAGTCAAACGCAGTCAGACTTCCCGAGGGGCCGTGCTCCAGTACAGAAAGAGAAGCTCCTCGCCGGATCCTGAAACTCAAGACTTTACATTTGAGGAACACAGCAAATAGTGCAGGAAAAGGTGTCTATAGAAGGTGATTTTCATCAGTCCTTGGAGCCAGAAACTATAAAAATAAACTGGGAAGGAAAGTTTAAATAAAGAATTTATTTCAAAATTCAGCAGAACTTAAATCCTACTCTCTTTCTTGAAAAGCCAACTGGGTTACAAAAACCAAGTTTATGTTTTGGTAGTGAAGTGATTATAAATGTTGCCAGTCAATGCCAACCAGTGTCTGGTTTGCTTCCTGTGCATGTCCAATTTCCTCTGTGATACTGTGTTGGTGCCAGAGCTTCTGAATCTTCTTAAATCGCTCTTTGCACAAATGTAAAGGATTTCCCCGTCTAGAAAGAAGACACAAGTCACTCAGGATGCATTCCGTTTATTCATCCATTATACTCCTGACTTAGGAAAGCTTATAAGCTGTTAGTTTTAGACGCTCTGCAAGGTTGCTGTCCGGCAGGTGATAGTGGCTATTAGCAAAACACAACAGCGCTGAAGGTTTGCTAAAAGCAGCTGAAGGGGAATAAACGTCTGCTGAAAAGAGGAGGGAAAAGCACACATACTACACTTACCTGGACGGGTGTGGGAGTGGGGGCAGAGGGTCTAGGTTGAGGCTAAAACTACCCATTCATTGTCCATTTTGTCGGTAGCATGAAAAAGGTAGGTGCAGAGGAGAGGATGAATGAATTACTACAGGAGTAAGAATGTTCCTCAGCGTGTTCTGTCAGCTACGAAGACTCCATGAAGCAGCCAAATGTGTATAAGCTTCCAGGTCTAATTTAACCACAAGTATGAGCTTGGGTGTGTTCCTCTGGGCCCAGTTCCCCGAGCCAGGCACCTGGGCCCAATTCAGAGTATAACAATCCTTTCACTGTCCAACCAGGGCTCCTCCTACTAAGACCCACACTCAGCGCAGGGGGAGGGACCACCCCCATGTGGCATACGGACAGAACCTTGCAGTCCAGCGCCCGGGGCAGTGAATCTACCTACCTTCCCTGGGCTTCTAGGCCTTCAACTTCTGCTCCCCAAGACTGGACAGTCACATCTAGCTAGCTTACAACTTTTACGTCCTTTGGGCAAGAAAGATGGTCTTAAACAGCGGTTCTCAACTTGTGGGTTGTGACCCACAGGAACTGTATTAAAGGGCTGTGGCATTAGGACGGTTGAGAACCGCTGGTCTAAAAGAAGCCCTTTAACAGTGCTTAAGGGAACTGCTGTTAGCATTTTCCTTATGAAATACTACAGAAGGTACCCCAGTACAAGTGACTTGCCTCAAATACTGTTCTGCTGTTCTGTATGTGCTAAATCCTTGTTCCTCAGATTTTAATGTAATAAGAGAAGCTTATCTCTCAGCAGTTAAGACTGTGCTCTTTTCTATCACCTGGAGAACAGTGGGTCTCCCCTATACAAAGCCACACAAGGCAGAATGGGTCATCCCGGTAGTGCTCTGATGCTGTGGATGTCACATGGCAATTTCAACAGTTCTCTGGAGTGATAAATGGAATAAAGGTGCGCTGTCCTATTCTTTATCCTTATCTGTCCTGATGCTCTTCGTGGCATCATGAAGGCGGGGAAAGGAACACCAAACCACGCAGGGAGGGTCCCTTCCTTGGAATAGAGTCCATGGATAACACAGCTCCTCTGCCAGAATCACCTGTGTCCCCAGGCGTTAGCAGGGCTGCCCCTCCTCAGGACCACATGGGTCACTGTATTCATCACATTGAAGGGCTGTGATGGCCCAGAGTCAGCCAGCCAGCACCCCTCAGCCAGGCCCTTACCTGAGTCCCTGATCAGTCTCCCCATAGTCATCAAGGTAAGGAGGAGAATAAAAACAGCCTTTGGTTTTGCCGGCTAAAAATAGCACTTGACATTCCCGTACTCTGTAGAGAGATAATTCATAGATTTTACATTTATGTACCCAAGGTTAGGTTTCACTTCCAAATGAAATCAAGTCTTATTTTATTATTATCATTTAAGAAGCCTCTTCCCAGAAGGCAATGAAGTCTTATGAGACAAAAAAACCTGTTAAGTCTGAGAAAGATAGTTAACTTGGAAATATAAAATTGGTACTGATACTTTAACCATTACTATGAGGAATTGATCATTTAAAAAACTGTGGGCAGGCTCGGCACCCATAGCATAGTGGTTACGTCACCAGCCATATACACCAAGGCTGGTGGGTACAAACCCAGCCTGGGCCAGCTAAATGACAATGACAACTGCAACAAAAAATAGCTGGGTGCCTGTAGTCCCAGCTACTTGGGAGGCTGAGGCAAGAGAATCACTTAAGCCCAAGGGTTTGAGATTGCTGTGAGCTGTGATGCCACCACACTCTACCAAGGGCGACACAGTGAGATTCTGTCTCAAAAAAAAAGAAAGAAAAGAAAAGAAAAAGAAAAAATTGTGGGCAAACATTATAAATTAGGTTGATCTGAGACACAAGCCAACACACTTTGTACAGGAACAAAAGAATGTGGAAATGTGCTGGGCAAGGGAAAATGCTACTTTTCTTATTGTTTCAGGTTAATTTGAGGGTACAAACAATTAGGTTACAATGTTTACATTTGTTATAGACCCTTTTATAATTGTGTCTGGCCTCCCAACAGGTGTGCCATACACCTTAACACTGTGCCCATTAAGGAGGAGCACATCCATCCTCCTCTCTCCCCAATCTCGGTTCTCCACCCCTATCTTGAATTGATTTGAGTTTTTCTCTTACTCAAAGGAGTGAGAGTATAGTATAATTAAATCCTCTATTGGCTTCATATTAGAATTGAGTACACTGGATTCTTGCTTCTCCATTCTTATGGTACTTCACTAAGAATAATGTGTTTTGGCTCGGCGCCTGTGGCTCAATCGGCTAAGGCGCCAGCCACATACACCTAAGGTGGCGGGTTCAAATCCCCAGCCTGGGCCCGCCAAACAACAATGATGGCTGCAACCAAAAAATGG